TTTCTATGTCGGCTGACAACACAGCATGGCTGATGAGTAGTGCATGTCTGCCCCTGGGATCCGAACCCACAGACCTGGGCTGCCAAAGCAGAGCACATGAACTTAACTACTATGCCATGGGGCCAACCCCATATTATCATTTTTGTGTGTGTGATGAGGGCATCTAAACTCTACTTCTAGCAACGTTCAAATATATAATACAATATTGTTGACTATAATCACCTTGGTGTACATTAGATCACCAGAACTTATCCATCTTTTAACTGGAAGTTTGTACACTTTGGCCAACCTCTCCCTATTTCCCCCATTCTGCAGGCCCTGACAAGCTCCATTCTACTCTTTGTTTTTATAAGTTCAGCCTTTTTGGATTCCACATATAAGTAATATACAGCATTTGTCTTTCTCTCTCTGGCTCATTTCAATTAGTGTAATGCTCTCAAGTTCTATCTATATTTTAGCAAATGATAGTATTTTCTTCTTCCTCATGGCTGAATAATATCTCATTGTGCGTGTGTGTGTGTGTGTGTATGTGTGTATCTGTAGATGTAGTTGTTTCTGTATCTTTGCTATTATGAAGAATGCTGCAAGGAACAGGAAAGTTCTAATATTTCTACAAGATATTAATTTCTTATGGGTATATGCCAGAAAGTGGGATTGCTGGATCATATGGTAGCTCCATTTTTAATTTTGTGAAGAACATCCATACCGTTCTCCATAATGGCTGCACCAATTTACATTTTCACCAACAGTGCACAAGAGTTCCCTTTTGTTTACATCCTCATCAATACTTGTTATTGCTTATCTTTTTCATAATAGCCATTCTAATTGGTGTGAGGTGAAATCTCATTGTGATCTCTCATTTATTGCCTGATGATTAGTGATGTTGAGCATCTTTCAATGTATCTGTTGTCCATTTGCATGTCATCTTTGAGAAATATCTATTCAAGTCTTCAGCCCATTCTTTAATCAAATTGTTTATTTGCTCTTGAGTTGTATGAATTCCTTATATATTTTGGATATTAACCCTTTATCAGATACACGATTTGCAAATATTTTCTCCCATTCAGTGGGTTGTCTTTCATTTTGTTGATTATTTCTTTTGCTGTGCAGTTCTTTAGTTTGATGTAGTCTCATTTATTTATTTATGCTTTTGTCATTCATGCTTTTAGTGTCATATCTAAAAAGTTGTTTCCAAGACCAATTTCAAAGAGAATTTTTCCTGTATTTTCTTCTAGGAGTTTTACAGTTTCAGGTCTTATGTTTAAGCTCTTAATCCACCTCAAGTTAATTTTTTTTTTTTTTTTAAAGATTTTAATTTTTTTTTCCTTTTTTTTTTCTCCCCAAAGCCCCCTGGTACATAGTTGTATATTCTTCGTTGTGGGTCCTTCTAGTTGTGGCATGTGGGATGCCGCCTCAGCGTGGTCTGATGAGTAGTGCCATGTCTGCGCCCAGGGTTCGAACCAACGAAACACTGGGCCGCCTGCAGCGGAGTATGAGAACTTAACCACTCGGCCACGGGGCCAGCCCCAGCTCAAGTTAATTTTTGAGTAATGAAAGATAGTAGTCTAGTTTCATTCTTCTGCATATGATTATCCAGTTTTCCCAAGACCATTTATTAAAGAGACTCTCTTTTCTCCATTGAGTATTTTTGGCTACCTTGTCAAATATTAGGTGACTGTATATGTGATGATTCACTTTTGGGCTCCTGATCTTGTTGCCTTGGTCCATGAGTCTATTTTTATGCCCATACCATACTGTTTAATTACCACGTCTTCATAATATACTTTGAAATCACGAAGTATGATACCCCTGGCTTTCCTCTTCTTTGTTAGGATTGCTTTGACTCTCTTGCATCTTTTGTTGTTCTATACAAATTTTAGAATTCTTTTTTCTATTTCTACGAAAACTGCCATTGGAATTTTTTCAGGTATTGCTTGACTCTATAGATAGCTTTGTGTAGTATGGATATTTTAACAATATTAAGTTTCCTGATCCATGAATATGGGACATCTTTCCATTTATTTGTGTTTTCTTCAATTTCATTCTTCAAAGTCATGTTTTTCACTGTATAGATCTTTCACATCCTTGTTGAAATTAAGTTGGTTAAATTTATTCCTAAGTATTTTATTTTTTCTACTGTTGTAAGTGGAATTTAGTTGTTAGTTAAGATATCTGTGGAGTTACAGACTCAAAAATAAGAAGAAAAAAATAGTTCTTTAATATCAGGGTAGCATTGTTTCTCTGTTTATACATTCCAGGTTTAATAATTAGAAATATAACGCCTATCTTGTCCTCTCTGTTTTGTGAACTTTTTCCTTTTCTTTGTTTTGTTTTTTTCTTTTTGTCTATTAATAAGCAGTTAAGATATTCTCATTTTCCACTGTGTTCTCAAATGGCATAGTGATAAGGGTGGGTTTATTATAATAATTCTCTTTGTTATCCCCATGTATCCTTTCAAACTAATGACAACAATATCTTTTCAGCTCCCCTCAAAAAAGGTATTACATACTTTCTTGTATAATCCTTCTCTCAATGTCTCTCCTCCTTTTTTTATTTTTGGAAACCCAAGTGTCACATGGTGTATCTCTCTACTTGACCCTTCATGTTATTATGTGTTTGATTTTCATTTTATTTACCTTTCCCCCAAATATTTATTTACTTTCTCTTGTGTTTCTTCTTTGTATTTTATTTATTTTTATTATGACTGTCAAAGATTAATTTATAGAATTTTTCTTATCCTCACGTTAGTCCTTTACGTCAATGGTATTCAAAGTTGGGTCCCTTGGCCTGCAGCATCAGCATCACCTGGAAAGTTGCTAGAAATATAACTATAAATTCTCAGGCCTCACTGATACCTACTGAATCAGAAATTCCAGGTTTGAGGCTCAGCAATAAGTGTTTTAGGAAGCACTGCAGGCAATTCTGATGCAAGCCAAAGTTTCAGAACATCTGCTTTGCATCATAACCTGTTGTTTTATAAATGCAGTAAGTTTATAAATATTGCAGGTTATATTAATTTACCTATTAAATTTGTTTTTTAGTACACAGATTATCTTTATCCGAGAGTTAAGTGATATGCTTCTCTATGCTTTTTGTTTTATTGATAGATCTGAAAGCTTTATTATCTATTTATACTTATCATTAAAGGACTGTTTTTACTAAGTAGGTGACAGAAATTTATTCTACTATTTCTGTTTTCTTTTACTATTAATTTTGACATTTCTCTTTCAGGGATAGAAGGCAATATTGGAACCCTTTGTGTCAGGGTTGATCTAGTCGATTGACAGCAGTCAATTTGAGGGTTCCCTGTGTGGAAACTGACTTTAAGTGATTATCCATTATGCGTAAGTCCTTTACTACGCCTGAATGACAATAGATATTAGTGCTATTAATCCTCTCCAGGTAGTTTCTTTAATATCTTTACAGAAAAGACTTCAGTACCGTCCCTGTCTTATATTCTGTGTATCTTTACAGAAAAGACTTCAGTACCGTCCCTGTCTTATATTCTGTGTATCTCTACATGACTAGACTAAGGGAAATATGGGAAGAGAGGAAAATGGAAATTAATACAGTAAACCAATTGGCAAGGAAATTTAGTAAACAGAATTTCAAATGCTCCTAGCCTCTGATTCTATTTTCTCCTCTTGCTCTCAACAATCTTTGTGCATGCCATTCTGTTCTTGAGGACTCTCTAAGGTTCTGTGGAGCAGATACGTCATCTTTTAACAGCATTTTCCTCATGCGTATTTGAGCATGGTCATTGCACAATTAGTTTTATCTCTTAACAGCTTTTATTTCTTCTTGCCCCGGACATTTGTTGAACTTGCTATTTCAACTAATTTACTTTCTCCTTTTTGCTTAACTTTTTAGATTATGTTAATTAGCTTTTATTTTACTGGAATCTTTGGAAGGACAAGAAACAAAGAGCTATATATAGTTATAAAAAAGATTAAGAAGAAATAAAAACTTTTTTGTACAGACAACTTTCTTGACTTAAGAATTTCTATAATATTCATTTTTGAGGTTCTTTAGTGTTCTAGTATTAGGCGGTACATCATTTTATTTATCCATCTATATTTTTGGATAATTAGATTAAATATCCTTTTAATAATAATAAAAATAATAAATATCTTTTAATAATCCTTATTAAAAGAATACTGTTTGCTGAATTTTGTGTGCCCTTACCTTATTCTTTAATAAAGAATGAAGTGAAATTCAGGATCAAATGTTATACACATTTTTAAGCTTATAGAGATTGCTATTTTCATCAGATTAAATTGATCTAAGACTAGAAGTAATACATTTAATTAATCTAGTCTGGACAAATTGATTCTCTCAGGACAATATGGTGAGATTATTGCATGAATACTTAACAGAGACATTGAAGACATCTAACTACGTGTGGAAAGTGAGTTGAGGTTTGGAAGTGTTAAGCTTGAGGTACCTGGAACTAATGTGAGAGAACTAGAAAGAAGATATATATTTAAAGGCAAAGAAAATTAAAAAAATAAATATAATCAATCCTGAGGAACAGAGAGTGAGAAAAATATAATACTAGTATTTATTGACACATGGAGAATGGCAAACCTTTTAAAAATATGTAGGGAATATCTATGAAAGTAAAAAAAGATCAAGAGGGGTAGTTTTATGGAAATAAAAGAAAGACAACTTTGCAAGGACAAAATAATTTAAAAGATTAAATGTTATTAAGGTCCAAAGAATTTAGTTACACCACTGAGCGATATTGTTATAATCTAATTATAATAGTAAGAAATTGCCTGATACCACCGCAACTTCAGAAGAGAGAACTTTCCTTTCCAGGCATAAAAATTATTAATGTCATTTTCCTTTCGGTAAGTCTATAATGCTCAGTCTTTAGCATTCATTGGGAGCATTTTGCCAAATCCGTAGAGTCTCCTGAATTTGATCTTTCATTTTCTCTTCCCTCTTAGGATCCATTTCTTGGAAAATGTTTTGAGTAGGGCTTCTCACAGTTTTCCATGTCTGAGTCCAACACCACAAAATTTCAGCCTTCTCTCTTCATTCTCACGGGCCTCCGAAAGCTGGTGGGTGCCCACCTGTGGCTGGGACCACTCCTGTGCCTGATGTACATCACTACAATCGTGGGAAATTGTACAGTGTTGTACTTGGTGAAGACTGAGCATAGTCTACAGGAGCCCCAGTACCTTTTCTTGTCAATGCTAGCTGGAGCAGATATTGTCCTGTCTGTTTCTACACTTTTCTCTGTGCTCAAGGTCTTTATCCTTGGCCTCTATCACATTGCATTTGATGATTGCCTCATTCAACTCTTCTTCATCCATACGTTCTCTTCCACAGGCTCAGGAATCTTGTTAGCCATGGCCTTTGACCGCTTTGTGGCCATCAGTCACCCCTTGCAATACACCACCATACTCACCAACTCACGAGTCACCAAAATGGGGCTGGCAGCCCTGCTGAGAGGGGTAGCACTCATGACTCCATTGCCTATCCTGCTCAAGAGGCTACCTTTCTGCAAGGGCCAGACACTTTCCTATTCCTACTGCCTCCATCCAAATGTCATGAAGTTAGCTTGTGGCCAAGTCAAAATTAATATTTTCTATGGACTGGTTTTGGTTATCTTTTCTTTTGGGTTTGATTTTCTGTTAATAGCCATTTCTTATGCTCTGATATTCCAAGCAGTGATAGGCATTGCTTCCAGAGAAGGCCAGAGGAAAGCACTCAACACCTGTTTGTCTCATATCTTTATTGTTCTAATTTATTATGGGCCTCTCCTGGCAATAACTGTCATGCATCGAATCAGCCACAGAAGCTCTCCATTAGCACATGCTGTCCTGGGAAATATGTACCTCTTTATGCCCCCAATGCTTAACCCAATTGTATATAGCTTAAAGACCAAGCAGATCCGTTCTTCTCTGAGGAAATCTTTCAAGAAACAGAGAAGGTGAAGAATTAGGCAAGTTAATGGAGATTTAGGTAGGGGAAAAAATGAACTCCCAATTCTATAGTTATTTAATAATAGTTGACGTTTGTTGTCATTTTAGATGTAACATGTGGATATAGAGAAGGATAGGATGAAATGCTATAAATTATGGGTTTTATGAATAAAGATATAAATTATATATTTGTAATATATTATTTGTTCCCACTTTTTTTCTCAATGTGGTTTCAACCCTCTTGAGAACAAAATTGGGACAAATGAAAGGTCCTTGGGCAGAGAATTCATGATAATCCCATTGTTATATTCAGATCTAATATCTTCTATATTTCCAAATATAGTTTGTTATTCAGCAACTTTGCAAAGAGTCTAAGGAGTTCAACAAATCTCTCACCCCATTCTCTAACTTTCTAGTTTATTTCTCTTCTTTCCACTGTGTTTTATATAGTTTATTTTTTAATTATCTTTCTTCTTTCCTTCATTAAAATCTCCATGAGAACAAACATTTATATTTTCTAAACTAGTTTAACTCTGTCAAATTGCAGACTGCCTGAGTTACAGTAGTAAATTATTAAATTGTTTTTTATTTTATTATACTTTTTTATCCAAGAGTTGAGTCATATTCGAGAAAACTCTTCCCACTCCCTCCCAATATATGAAAATCCATATTTTGTAGAAAAGGATATTTACCCCAGTTTCCTATAGACTATACCATTTTTAGTTTATATATTACCTTTGATACAGTTATGGAGTACATTATATATAATCATTGAAAAATTTTCTACTCCTTTTTGATCTCCAGATAGGCTTGTGTACATACATCTGTTCTTTTGAAAGCAGTCCTCAAATTCATGAACTTCTGCTCCAAAAGCTGCTTTCTTCTAAGTTCCCTCTGTACATGAATTGGATCTTCTATGTTGGTATAGAGAAAAAAATAATCCTATAATCTCTATAGATTTCTCTTACATCTCCCCATTTTTAATCTTCACTAATTTTATTCACTTATATCTCCTAAATATGTATTAAGCGAGTTCATTTGTTTACATGTCTATAGGCCCTTCACTAATTCAAACTTTTATTATCTCCCTATTATCTACTACAGTAGCTGCATTTTCATCATGCAATGTTACCCCATGCCCCATCTATTATTTACACTGCTGTATAAACTTTGTAAAACAAATATGATCATGTTGAATCTTTATTTAGAATTTTTGTTGTTTTTGTTGTTGAGGAAGATTTGCCCTGAGCTAACATGCTAACATTCACTGCCAATCCTCCTTTTTTTTTGTTTGAGGAAGATTACGTCTGAGCTAACATCTGTGCCAATCTTCCTCTATGTTTTTGTATGTGGGACACCTCCACACCGTGGCTGGTGAGTGGAGTACATCTGCACCTGAGGTTGGAACACATGAACCCGGGCCACCAAAAGAAAGCACACAGAACTCTACACTTGGCCACGGGGCTGGACCCATGTTTGGTATGACAACTTTAATATAATGCACATGATATGAGAGACTCTCCATGATCTGACCTGTGTACTTTTCTTCCATGCCCGAGACTTACTAGACAATTTTCAGTACTCTGAATAGTGTGTGTTGGTTCTAAAATGTTTTTGACTTGCTACTTCCTGTACCTAATATGCACTTTTCATCTTTCATTGAGAAAATTTTTGCTCATTTTTAATAACTAGATTAATTATGATCTCTTATATTAAACCATCTGTAACATCCAAAATTTCAATGAATCCAACCTCTTCATTGGACCAATGATCCCTAAGCATATTTTTTTTATGACATCCTATCAGTCATCCAGCTTGGTCACTTTTGATTATTTTTTTCCTCTTTATTGCAGGCTATATTTTCACTCCTTGTAAGCCTGGAATTTGTTTATTGAATCCAAATTGTTGTAAATATGGCTACTATATATTTTAGTATTCCTCTAAATATTTGGGGGATTTGCTCTGAGATACAGTTGAGTTACTGGATAAATATACAGTCTAGGTTAGAGATTAAAAAGCTCTAACTAATGCAATAGCAGCAGCAATAAAGAAAGATTTGTACAGAAATGGAATGTGGAAGATGATAAAAAGCTCATTTAATGATGACTTTAAGGATGTGCAGTCTTCCTTATTCAAACAATTTCTTTTTATATATATTTATTAATGGTACAAAAGGGAACTGGATTCTTAAACAAAGACATGTATGCATAACTGATACACAGCATGAACACATGCAGCAAGAAGAAACAGTAAATCAATAAATTATGTTTTGGTCTCCGAATCATATGGATGGACTTGTGGGGTATTTCATTAGAAGAAACTATGGAAAAATGAAATAGAGAAAACCTAAGGTAAGAATCAGTAGATAGAATTCACATAAAAGAGCTCTATGTTGATGACAGGAAATATAGTTAAAGAAAGCATCTGCATAATACAAAAGAAAATTCTCAGCTTAAGTCCAGCATGTGGATGAAACTTTACGGCACATCTTCTCTGTTGAGCTGTCTGAAATCACCAAGTGCAGTTGGAAAAAAAAGGCATTTCATATTTGACTCATTAGTTACTCCCTAACAGTATTTAAAATAACAGAATGAAAAATATTGTTCTAAACATTTACAGTACTCATCCGTCTACTACTTTGCATACATTAATTTTGCCAAATAAAATTTATAGAAAATAAATATTAACAGTGAGGTCATGAAATGCAGTGGCCATACTGAATTTAAAGAATTCTCATTGGGAGTATTGTGTCATGGAGTGTGTGTGTGTGCGTGCGTGTGTGTGTGAGAGAGAGAGAGAGAGAACTTATGAAAAATAACAGAAAAAATAATAAACTGAAATCCTCTCCATTTCAAGGCAAGGACTTTAAAAAATGAGAACTCTACTGACTGCTGATTGCTGAATAATTTCAAAAAGGTGTATGTGATATTACTTCCTAACACATCATGAGTGTAACCTTGGCTATTATGAAATAGTTATTGTATTGCTGTAGTATGAGGCGAGACAGCATCAGCTTATCCTAAGCAGAGCATGTCAATGCCCTGGAAAAATATAGAAATGGCTAATAGAAGACTAAGTAACCTTAATTGATTAATATAATCAATATGTTAACATATCGATTAACATTACCTTGCCATTGTCCTTTGTCACCCTTCCTCAGAATATCTTCTTCTGTTGTACTTTACTTGCATTTCTTCCAAGCAAAATGTTTTGTCTCAGTGAATGATTCTTTTCATAGATAAATAGGAATTTATAGGAACAAGATAATTTTTCCCCTAGTGTTGGCTAATTGTGGTTTCATTCCTGTTTTCTAGAAGATGACTGTCAACCGGTTGGTCCCTACAGTCTTTGAATTTGACTTTTTCCAAGTGTTTCTTTAAAAAAGAAAACAAAATAAAAATATATGTACTCCACTTTGGCCTCTACTTATACTCTCATTTCACAATGTGCTAAAGATATGAATTTTGGAAATTTTCTTCTTAGACTTCAGCTTTTGCAGGCAGGAAATATGAAGTAGAGTTACGAGCATGACACTTAAAGATGTACAGATGTAAGTTTGTCTTAGTTCTACAACTAGCAGCTTTCTTGGGCACTGTATGTTTCATGCAGACATAGGTTGATAATCAAACTAGTATCTCTTTGAACATGACAAATGTTTGCTGGAATCAGTAAATTCATAATGCATTTAATGTTAGTGAACATGAGTAAAAATAAAATTTGCTTAAAATACCATAATTAAATAATGGGGTTCAATGACACCTATGTGTTTGCATATCTTTAAATCTCATATGGGGAAAAAAGTTGGATTTACCAGAATTTATGTATTTTTTACATAATATGTGGTGATTTTTAATCCCGAGTCTAATCATTTTTGATTGGGGAGATACTGACAAATTACTTAGTATCTTTTAACTCTCTCTTTTCCTTTAAAATAGAGCTAATAAAATTCGTCTCTTTTGGTTTAAGACAGGCTATTTTTGGTAATGTAATGAAAGTTTGGACGTGGAGGCAGACATTAAACAACTCAATTTCCTTTCTCCTTTTAAGAATAAAGTATTTTAAAGATTCCCCTCACTTGCTTTATAGTTACATTTTAATGTGCAAAAATCACACTTTACACGTAGAACATATTACCAATGACATCTCTCAGTTCACATATTTATTAATTTACCCATTTATGAGTCAATATGCATTTATTGTGCACAATATGCAGATACTCCATAAGGTAATGAAGATGCAAAGGCAAAGACAACACACTTGGTCCCTGATTGTTTAGAAGGGAAGGATCATTAAACAGTAGTTACATTGGCAAGTAAGAGTTGTGATTGTCAAGTGTAATTATCTAGGCACATGACCATTTATTCATTTACTAAAGGAAACGATTGCAATTTATTGTGCTGCTGAATAAGGTATATACCAGAGATTGAAAATAAAGCAACACAGTGGCTGCTGACAATAATTCTCAGTCAATGGAGGAAGACAGCCATGAAGACGTAAGTAAAATTGTCCTGTGAGTATTATAATAAAATTATTTATGGAGTATATTGAGGGGAAAAGGAAAGTGCCAGTTCTACCAGAATGTTGGAAACATTCATAATAGAGGAAGTTGTGTTTAAGGTAGGTGTTGAAATTTGAAGCCAAGCAATTGGTAAAAGCTTGGAGTCATATGAAGGCAGGAATACATGTGTACAAATGTATTGAATCATCCAGTTCAAAGAGAAGTGGCATTCTATAGACAGAGTTGATGCTGGGGGGAAGGCAGGGATAAGAAAACAGAAAAGATTCTAAAATATGTTAGTAACTTGATCTTTATCCTGCAGCTAACTATAAGCCACTTAATTATTTAAACTTAAATATTTAAATACAAAAGAGATGAAAAAATTATTTCAGCAAGATCCCTCATTCAAGAGTGTGCATAATGAATTCGATCAAGACAAGAACCAAAATGTCACCATCTTCTTGGCATATGAGAAGAAAATACCTGAACTATCACAAAATTATACCTTGAATTAATGACATATTCCCCAGAGGGAAATAGGTAAAAGGGGAAGAGAGAGTCAAGGTGTTTTTTCACTAAGCCACACTTGACTACTTGAGCAAGTTTCCCCTGCTCTTGAATACCTTGTGCACTGCAGACCTTATCTGTTTGGTTTTTAGGCTATAAACCAAGGGATTAAGGACTGGAGTTAAGAAGAGGAAGAGATTGGCCATGGTGACATGGAGAAGAGGAGACGTGAATGTACCAAACCTATGAATTAGAGCCAGCACAATAAGGGGCACATAAAAGATGCAGACAGTGAAAATGTGGGAAGCACAAGTATTAAATGCCTTGAGCTGACCATCTTCTGAGGCAATACTCATCACAGTTTTCAAAATAAGGATGTACGAAATGACAATGAACATGGAGTCAACTCCAAAGGAGCAAAGAACAAGAGACAGCCCATAGATGATGTTGACTCTGACAGGACCACAGGCCAGCTTCATAACATCAGGGTGATAGCAGTAACAATGTGATAGAATAACATCTTTGCAGAAGGACAATCTCTGAAGAAGGACTGGCAAGGGTACCATCAACACCACACCCCTAACCACAGCAGCAATCCCCATCCCAATAATCCGAGGAGGGGTTAAGACCACAGTGTAGAGCAGCGGGTTGCAAATAGCTACAAATCTGTCAAAGGCCATGGCCAACAGGATGGCTGACTCCATGGAGGAGAAGGTATGGATGAAGAACATCTGTGTTAGGCAAGAGTGGAACTCAATCTCTCTGTGATTCAGGAGGAAAACTTGGAGTACCGTAGGTAAAGTTGATAAAGACAGACCCAGATCTGTGCCTGCTAGCATAGACAGGAACATGTACTGAGGCTCGTGAAGGCTGGAAGTGCTTTTAATAACAAAGAGGATAGTGCAGTTACCTAAGAAGGTGATTAAATACATGATGCAGAGTGGAATAGAGATCCATATTTGTACAGCCTCCAGTCCAGGAATGCCTGTTAGACAGTGGGTGGCTGGAACCAGCTGTGGTTTGTAAACCCCATAAGGATATTTCTTGGGAGCAAATCCAGATCAGCTTCTAAATGTTCCTATTGGAAGACAAATAAAGATTTTAAGATAGGAGAATATAACGCATCTTACTCCTGGGGGGCAGCCCCAATCCTAGGCATCTTTACATCAAGGAATTGATCCTTATAATGTTTCCAGATTTATCTGAATAACAATCTGGAGTTAGGGCAATGGATAACTGCTATTAAAATGGAAGAGTTACTAGAATTCTTTTGGCCTAGAACATTCCAATCATTCATCAAGTAACATGAAAATTAAGCACATAATTTTATTTTTTACCCCAATGTTTAGAAAAATTTCATTCTCAGAACTCTTTCTATTTCATAATTTTTCACCTACTTTTATTTTTAGTGACCTTAGCAGAAACTCTGAAAGAAGTTCCTGCACTTTCCCTGTGTCAACACCATACCTAGAAATATTCAGGCATCTGGAAACCCAGGCATGTTCCCTGTTATTTACACCTGCAGAAATAAAGCATAAGATATTTCAATAACTCACATAAACTCCATGTCATTTAAAAAATACTTCACATGATACCGTCACTTTTAAAATTAATTTCTATGCTGTTTGATTTTTTCTTTTTAAATATGTTTATTTTTCAAAATATGACTGATAAAATCACTAAAGTAGGTATTGTCATTACATCTTAGCTGATGCTATGATAGTATCAAACATTAATAAATAATTTCTTTAATAAAATTTTAAATATTTCTATTTCAAAACACAAATATATTATGAAATAATGCATATGAATATATCAGTAAATATCTTACAAATAGCATATTTGGAGGAAATGGTGTTAGTGCTTATGTCATTATGCTACATAGAAAGGTAGGAGGAGATTGTATATGACTGATTGAATACAATTAGATCCAAGTGTTTTGTTTAAAGTTGAAGCAAAAACAAAATAGCGATGTAACTACATTTGGATATGTGGGATGGGGGAGGAGGGGTGGGAATAGAACCAAGCTAAACCCTTATCTGGAAGAGTATGAAGTCAAAACTATGGAATCTTTTGTAAAATCATATTATTTAAAAGTGTGACCCCAAATAAAAACACCAGAAGAAAAACAGAAACTAATGAAGGATTCCTTCTCAAGAAAAAGAATAGAGACAGGGAGGATTGGAATAAAATATATGTATATATATTTTTTTCCCTCAGCCAGAATTAGAACTACTGTGCTGTTTTAAAACCATGTAAATGTAAATAAACAAATTCATCTTTTTATAGATCTAAGTATATCTTTGAAAAGCAGATTCTAGATGAATCACAATGTATACATTTTCATCCATTGATGTATAGACTTATGCTTGTTCATTTGCATTCACACACACTTGACAGTGAAAGGCTACTATATCTTACTACATTCTTTCATAGTATGCCTAGTAAAGAGTGTTCTACCAAGCATGTCCTTTTATCTGAGGGACTGAGTCAGTTCCTTATGGCTGACTTCTTAGGGACTTAGAATACTAAATTCTATATAATTTTTTCAGATGTACATGTGGAGTATCAGAGACACTCATGTTGATAAAAACAAAAAGAAGAAAATTGTGGTTCACAATAGCTTGGGGCATGCAAACACACTACAGATAGAGCCCACACTCACAGTCACTCAACACACTGTATTCTACGACACTAAGATGTGAGACTTTCTTATAAACGTAAAATTCATGAGGAACACATTGAGCGTTGTCCACAACACATCATTGCACTTCATTTAAACATACACAAATTCATATACTACAGGTTCATATAAACACATATAATCAGCTTTCTTCCTTTTGCTTTAATTATCTTCCATAATGTCTTAGAATTCACTCTGCTCACCTTTATGTGCATCTTTCCCTTCTATTTTTGGCACTGACTCAATCAGTACTGGATTTCCTTTTATCTGTGGTGTATTACCCATCCTAGCCAGAAAGATATTCCACACACTAATCCTGGACATCAAAAAGAAATTTAATTTCTCCTAGTATGTGTGTCCCACTGTCAACCCCTTAAAAAATCCTTTGAAGAGATATAATTTCTCCAGTCTTCCCCCAGAGACCAAAACAAAATATTGGTCTCTGACTTATGTGCTATGAACCCCCATCAGTTAACCTTGAGCTTCATAACACTCTTCTTGGTTCCCCAAATAGGTGTCTGCACTCTCATCTTTTACCAACTCTCCTTTTTGTTCCCTTTCTAAGGACACTGAACTTTCATGGCTGTCATTCTTAATCTATGGAAAACTTCAGTTAAGCAGCTCTTAAAGATGATACTGCATCTCTGTTCTTTTAAAGAAAATAAATTCAACAGTCATTTTTATGTGTTCTGCCATCTTCTCACCGTGAAACCAGCAATGTTCAGTACAGAGTGACAAAGGAGTTCAGCAGTACAGTTCTCTTTTAGTCTCGCTCTCCGTGTCATAGGCAGAGAATGGGGGATTTCTTATGAGATGTTAGAAACCTGTCATAGAGGTATCTGCCTGGCACCAGAGTTATTTATTGCAACAAGTAGGGAATCTTAGACAGAGGGTGCCAGAGGGAGATTTTCAAAATATTCTCATGAGATAGTGGTTTCAATGTCTTACACATTCCATGTCACAAAAACAAATTACTTGGAAGCAAAGCCATGTCAAACTTGCTTTTCTCAATACTCCAGAGTCCTTATAATTAATCACACATTCAACCATGAAACCAGTTGTATCTCTACTGTTCACCACAAACACTAGATAAGCTCTTCTTTAGAAGTGATTTTTCCTGATGAGTGAGCCTTAAGTATCCAGACTTAGTTTGGATCATTTTTTAGGCAAATCATTTTGAAATGTAATTCTCTACTTTCTTTTGAGAATTTGAGAAACTATTTCTTTCATTACCATTGTTATGACTGTCCATTATTATATTGTTTCACAACATTTTAATGCTGTAGTTTTTTGAGAGATACAAGATCATTTACATTAGTCTGAGTTAGTATGGCCTTATTTTAATTTTAGTTTTATCTTCCTTTTCTTCCTATAAAGCTATTAGTTGTGAGTCATTTCCTTTCCTTTTAAGGTTTTGTCTTTTCTGTGGCTGTAACTTTTTTCTCTCCTTTCAAAATTTTAATCTTTATTTCATACTTTATCCCAAATGCCTAGGATGATACCTAATATACAGAAGGCATTCAGCATACACTTGATCAATGGTGACGAGGATTTCCACATTGGGCCTAAATGGAGTAAGAGGGATTGAATTCAGCTTTCAATCTAACACAGCCAAAGTAATTAGACAAATGTATGAAACAACAGTTTTAAAGACAATAAATATCTGGCAAGAAGAGCTGAATGCCTGAGAGAGAGGGAAACATACAAATTAAATCTCACAATTGCCCCAGATCACTGCTTTGAGAGTTTCCAGGCCACGGTAAAGGGAGCAGAAACCTAGACAGAGCCTGTGAACTCCCTGAGTTGAGGAACCATTGCTGAGGACCCAAGGAGACCAAAGAAGTTAGAATTCATGAGACAGAGTACTGGAGAAAAAAGAACTACACCAAGAGAGAACCTTGGAAATCTACAGAGGGCTCCCTAAAATATTCATCAGAGTACTGAATGCTGTATGTGTGTAAAGAAACTGAGGCCAAAGAAACCACTGTCCAAAAGAATGAGAGGAAACAGGCTCAGCGTTCACACATGAACTGAACAAGTGCCTGTTCCAAGAAAGACTGGAGTAACTTGTAGTTCACAGGATATTGAGTAGAGTATTTAGAAAAAATAAGGTCCCAGTAGTGGGGAGTAATTAGTAATTAGACCTAGGGTAAATGGTCTCTAGTCATACCTAATAATTTTTTAAATGAAGACCTTAAGGATCAAACTATTTCTAGGTAATTTATATATAATATCAGAACAAATCTTAAGAATATTAACAGGTATATAAATATTTGTATTAAGGAATAAGTTACAGTAAATATAAATTACATTCATTCTCAACAAGGTAAAATTCATATTGTCTACCATCAAATCAAAACTATGCATGCAAAGAAGAAGGAAAATATGATCCAAATGAAGAGAAAAATTAATCAATAGAAACTGACCAAGATCTGACATAGATTTTAGAAATAGCAGACACAGATATTAAAACAGTTGTTATCACTGTATCTCACATGTGAAAAAAATTAAATAGAGACATGGAAGTAGTGTTTAGTCTGAAGTATAGATATGAGGACAAATGGAGAGGTACATTTGATAACTATATTTGTATCATCTTTGGAAAGAGATTTTGATTGGATGTATAGACATGTGAGTCATCATACATCAAGCACATTCAGAGTGAGAATAATATATCAAACAAAGAAAATTTTAAGAAAAAGCAGAAAGTGTTATCTTGTGTGAATATGTTTGTGTGTGATTATATCTATATCTGTGTCTATATCTAATCTGTATATGCATACGTGTATATAGTAAAGGAGACCATAAAGAAAGACAAAATTCAGAATAGAGAGAGTAGTATGCCAACTTGAGGTGACTGTGACACATTTACCAGAGATATACAAGAGATATCATTTCTTGATTTAAATTTTATCCACCATTAACACAGAAGTGGTAAATTGTAAATAGTTGAAATTACATTAGAGAAAAGGGGGTCACTCGAAGGAGTATTGTTAGTGATTAATGTTACAACAGAGAGAAATAACTACATTTAAGAGACATAGCAAAGAAGAAGATGCCTTAGAAATTGTTCTAAGAACAAGATTTCAGATTGTTTACAAAACAACAATATTTAGGGTAACTGAAAGAGATTTTAAAGGTGGGTTAGATTAAGAGGGAAAATAGAATAAGAAAATAATGCAAGACATCACATCAGATTTTATAATACAGAAAGCAATTTTAAGAAGAACATAAATTCTAAAACAAAAGCAAGATATTTCTTGTAAAGAGAAATGAACATTTAAAAGTTTAACCAATACAAGAAATGAAATGGAAGAGATGGTCATAAGATACTATAACGAATCAGCATA